ACGGCCTCGGCCAAAGTCTTACATAGCCTCGAGCTCACTAGACTCTAATGGAACAATAACCACCACCACCAGCAGCCACCCGTGGGCTTCCACGCGAATCCCGATCTAGTGGATAAATGGATGTACAGAATAAATTCATTCAGAATCTCCACCCATGTTTTTTATTGTGTTCTCTAGACTTTTACTTTTTGCTTTTGCGGTTCGCCCATGCCACGCCACGCCATGCCATGCCGGAAGATTAGCATCCTGGGTTATTCTGAGACAAAGCTGCGTTTAAGCGTCATGTATGTGAATGACTCGTTTTTTTTTAGCTTTCTTTCTGGCTTTCTTACTGGATTCCTGGGGTAAGTGAATGCGTGTGTAAAGTCGTCACGACATGGCAGGGATTATGACTGCTCAGTGTAATTTGGGAACGAAGACGAGATTTGGGATTTTTGGGGAAGAGTCATGGGAGAGGGATGCAGATGAGACGTTGGTTGCTGTGCGTATGCAGGTCATAAGGGGAAATCAAGATAACATGTTGGTGGGTGGGGGGTGTTTTATGTCCAAGTCGGGATAATAGTGTAATCATGACTATCTGACAATGAGAATGATGATTGGACTACCCACTCAGATAGATGAGGAGACACACACTCATTCTTGTGCTGGAAGTCATGAGATTCTTGTTCTGAGGGGGGGGGGTACTCATGGCGAAGTTATCACACCCTGTCTCTTCTTCCATGGCAGGGTCTATGCTGATATCCAAGATGCTCAGTGCTTACGAGTTGGTACAGACGATATACATACATACATACATACATACACACACACACACACACACAAGATGCAGCCGTAGAATCTATAGACTGAGTCCTCCTTGTCTTCTCTGCCATGTTCTTCGACCCAGAAGTAAAATTTAAATAAAAAATCCAAAGCAAAGGTCTATACTACACTTCAGACCACTACCTCCTCACCTCATTCCAAATCGACTTCTCCCACCCCCTCACGCCCTATGCTCTCTCTCTCTCTCTCTCTCTCCCTCCCCATCCACCGTAAACCGCACATCCCTCCTCAACACAACAATCTCAAACGCCCCTTCCTCACACCCCCACGTCCCCGCTCCCTCAACACTACGCCTGATATCTCGAAACCCGCGTTTCCGCCAATACACTCCATTAAGACACTCGACTGCCTGGATCCACAGCGCCACAATACCCTCCTCGTCCTCATCCTCCTTCTCCCCCTTACTCCTCTGCTGCTGCTGCTGCTGCTGCTTCTGGATAGTACGTATTTCCCCTCCAGCCGCGCGTTCCACAGCTACAAGATGCGTTTCCAGACATGCTAGGAGCTGCACTGCGAGGCCGCGGCGCGTGTATGCTGGTTCGGCGAGTACGCAGACGGTTTTGAGTTCCCAGCCGCGCTCGGGTGGTGATGATGATGATGATGACGATGTTGCTGGGCGCCGCCATCCGCCGGTCCAGGGGACGGCTGCGGCACAGGCGATGGGTTTGCGCGGACTGAGACTACTATCCTCTCTAGTATTACCGCTACCGTTACCGCTACCATGTGGTTCTGCATCTCCGTCGTCAAACAGCACAGCTACCACGCTGCGCTCGTCGCTGAGCATAGCATGTAGTTCGCGCGTATCGGCGAACCGCGGGATGCCCAGGTCCCATTTTGCGGTTGAGCCTGCGGTGCTGCTGTGCGAGGTGGAGAAGGCGTGGTTGACGAGGTGTATGAGGGCTGTGGAGAGGGCGGCGTTGCATTTTACGTCTGACGACGTGTACAGGGTTGGTGTGGAGATTGGGGAGTGCGGTACTGCTACTGCTGCTGCTGCTGCTGGTGGGCGCATTGTCATGGTGGGTGATGTTAGATTTACTAGGCACGTGGGAGAACTCCTTTTTTTTACTTTTTTACTTTTTTACTTTTTGCATACACTGAGTGATGATAATCGAAGAAGTGGAAAATTAAAAGCCTATTTACGCGAATAACAATTCCAAAGAAAGGAAAGGGAAATTGTGAGTGGCTGGCTATGTACCACATCTGAGTCATATCATCTACGTTCCTGTTTTCCACGCCGTTGGGTTTGCTTAAGTAGCGGTGTTCCGAGCGGGCGTCTGTGTGTGTGTGTGTGTGTGTGGATTCGTACATGCGCATGTGCAGTGTGCATCTACTAATCTTTTCTTTTTAAACTTGCTTTGTTGGTTCCGAAATATCGGGGCTTCATGTATGTAAGTAATTATGCACCTTCCTATTTCAGAACGCACATCAAACCATGTCCGCGTCTTTGAACCACGTAGTTTTTTTCTTTTCTTTTTCTTGCACAATCCCCCCCCCCTTTTTTTTGTGTGTGTGATTGGACTCTGGGGTTTTTCGACATGTCAACACGTAGTGCATCAATAGAGTGAATATGGGAAAAGACAATTGTGTGTTGTTGTTGTTGTGATAAGAGTAATAGATTTTCTAATTCAATATTTCCATACATGCCGCCGGCACGGCCTTTTCGGTATGGAAATGCTGTAAAAAAAATGAACGGACGCGAGTGGTGGTATCTAGTTTTAAAGAAGAAGAAGAAGATGAAGAAGAAGATGAAGAAGAAGAAGATGAAGAAGAAGATGAAGAAGAAGAAGATGAAGAAGAAGATGAAGAAGAAGAAGAATAAAATAAAATAAAATAAAATAAAACAAGGAACAAAAGCGCCGAGGTAGTGGAATGGCCGAGCCCCGAAGAACAAGTAAATACAGACCCTTGATGATATGGTAGAGGAGCAAAAGAAAAAGAAAAGAGATGATGGAATACCGGCGCAGCCGACGGCGTTACTTTTCATTAATCAAGGAAAATGGCCGAGGTTAGCAGGACAACGACGACAACGACGAGGAGAAACGCAAGATAATTGGATCAAGACCATGCTACTGCATGTTTCATGACCATGTCTGCCAACTGGGTCGATGCTGGCTCGGCGTGCGTGCTGGAAGAGGCGTTGGTGATCTCTCGGGCGCAGCGTGGTCGACTGGCGGGGCGACGGACAAGAAAGCCTTTGGCACTTGCTGCACGGCTGTGACTTGCTGCATAGCTGGAGCGCCAAGGCCTTCTTCCAAGTCCCTAGGAGTAGGGTCTGACGATAGGATAGGTGACTTGGGTCGTTGTGAAACGGCTTCTACCTCACTGCCGTCGGACTCCTCTGGTGACCGGGTGCTACCAGCCAGTGAGTTGCGCGTGGTGAAGCGGCCCATTTCAATGTCGTCGTAGTAGTGGTCGACCATGTTGTCAGTGGTCAGGGCTGAAGCGGGTCTTTCGAGGGGAACATCCTGCACAGAGCTTGATGGAGAGTTCTTGACTTGAACCTCCTTTTGAACGTAGACGCCTCCGTGGGGGTCGACAGCCACGCCATTGTGCGTGTCATGATATTCTCTTATGCTGTAGAACTCGCTTCCGCTTTCGCTTCCGAGTCCTAGAGTCAGCTTGCTCCACAGACTGGTCGACTTGCTGTCTTTTGTAGAGGCCTTTGATTCGCTTGGACGGCCGGCAGAGTTGACTGGTGTCTTGGATCGTGACCGCAAAACAATCGTTTCTTGGAAGAACCACTTGAAGAAGACCTTGAGGGCTGGCGCATTGGCGCACAAGCAACCAATGTGAAGCTCAGCAAGCGACGTCCAGAGAATGTTCCATGTTGCCCAAGTAACGTCGTACGTCTCGTAGAAAGCGTACCAGCTGTAGTAAGCGCGCATGGCACCCAACGCAACGACACCGTAACCAATGGCAAAGATGCCAAACAGTGCCAGCTTTTGCCGGATAGGGATCCTGAGGTTCCAGTACAGGAACGTGGGCAGCATGGCAGTGAGGAGGTCTTGTGTCACGGAGATGATGCTAGCGGCGAAAACGTCGGCGCCTTCGTCGAAACAGTGAAACTTGTACCCTTGCGCAACCTTCAGAATATCGAACTGATCCCAGAACGCGGAGACGGGCTGGCATCCGACAATGGGGGCGATAATCAGGGCAACGCTGTAAGCGACAATGTATCCGATACTCATCCAGGTCGTCCAGTAGAAGGCCGTAGACACCACACGAGACGATAACCGGCGATAGAAGAGGAGGATGGAAACTTTGATCAACCCACTTGCCCCACAGAAGAGGCATTCGGTTGCCAAAATGTACTTTCTCGCCACAACCACCTTTTGTGTATCGCCGAACAAGTCCAAGTCCCACACATGACGGTCAAAAGCTTGCTTGTTCGCTTAGAAGAATTAGCCGTATTCATTCGGATGAGGAGGTTGGCGTACAGAGAGGGTATATGACGGTCAATATCATGACGAGTGGCTGTAACAGTCAGCGTAGAAGTAGAACAGGGTTTGGGTAACTGACAATGGCCGCTAGCATTAACCAATCGTCCACACCCGCGCTCTTCTGGTGGAATATCCTCACCCAGAGCCTTCCGATTGATGTAAGTAGAGTAATGGGTCCCAGTACGTAGGCCATGAAGACGATTGAGTCTGGTCGGAGTGCTGGGTTCACATAGTTGGGTGTTGGCCAGCTTGCAATGACCTCCGGGGGAGGGTGTAGTCCACCAGGCATTGTGCAGATGTAGAGAGAGGTGCTCTTGACTGGAGAGTGTTTGGATGGAAACCCAGAGGAATAACGGTTTTTCAAGTGAAGGCATGGCTACCATATGTGCTCGATGACTTTTGCCTGGCCGAGAGATCCCGAGTCAGCACGGGACGGGGTAGCGTAACAGCATGGCCAGGGTCTGTAAGAGGTGGATTGGGTACGAAAAAAGTAAAAAGGCCAGGGCTCGACCAATGCGACACGTTGGATATTTCCCCGTTGTAGTATCACGCATGACCCGGCAGTTGGAAGCTGTTCCCGGTTTGGAGGTGCGTGCATACTCAAGCATTTGATGTGGAGATCTGATGTAGACCGTTGCTCGCTCAGGACTCGTGTTCGCATTAAAGGTCCCAGCCATGAGGGGAGGGGCTTGCCACTAGTTGATGTCGCCGACGTTGCGTGTTTGTCGAGACTGTACATGATATACCCCTCAACAACTTTGATCGGTGAAAAAAACAAGATGCACAGTGGAGATGAGCAGATATTGGTCGACTAATCCGTCGGGGTATATCTGGGGGAATGATTGCTTTTGGTACAGTTGATGTCTATCTGGAGCTGGCTGACGAAGATGTTGCGTGTCAAACAGCAAAGACACGGGATTGGTCTATAGTGCTCTCGGATTTCGCTGCCCATGTAATTTCCGGAGAAGAGCAATGTGTTTGAAGGTAGTCAGATTGAATGGGAACCCCTCACCTTGAAGCCCTAGGGTCCGGAATCCAGCAGCGGGACCGATCTGGACCAAGAAGCGGAAATCGGTTGCTCCCGCCACGGTGTAGTCTTTGTCGACAATCGTCCCGAAGAGGCGCCATGCACATACGGGAATATTGTGTGCCGCTTGGTTGTGGCATTTGATAGGCTACGCGGGTGGGAGAAGGCGTGGCAACGTCTGCAGGTTACATAGGAGATCTTCCATCGTGCGTGGGCCTGCATGTGGGGGTCTGCATGCAGCTGTGTTCAAATGAGGGAACTGACGGGTGCAGCATGCACATTCCGACAGGCTGTAGGTCCACGCGGCCGGGCGGCTAGGTAGAGTTGCGAAATGAATGGTCGAGAGTGAGAGAAGCAAAGTTAGATCATGCCGCGCGGGGAGCTATGCAGCCGATTGATGATGTTTGTGCCCCGATCTGACTAGAGGAAGCCACATTTACCGGCATGCGGATACATGAAGCATCAAAAAGTAAATACGACTATGAGCAGCCGTTAATTAGACCGAGGCGTCGTAGCATTTGCAGTGACGAGGTGTTGTGGAGCTGAAGCGGGCTGGGGCCGAATGCGGGGCATGCTGCGAAAGGTGTTTGGAGTGCTTGGAATTGGAGTGACATGGCCAAGTCTGCGGTTCGATGTAATATGAGCACACGTATCGAGGCTGACCAAGAGTAAGAGTGCGGATGACAGACGGCTGGTAGGTCTTCGTATGGCGCGCAATCTCCGCATAATCTCCGTTCCTGATGGTACGTACCTGACCCCAGAGCTCGGGCAAGGCGAGCTGCTTACACCACCGGCACACAGAGCTTTTAAAACACTGGCCATCCCCGCTGCGAACCTTCTTCAGTTTTTGCTTGAGTCGTTTCCACACGCGAGTCACCATTCCAGGTTCCATGGGAGCTGAAAGTCCGCACGCCCGCCTACATGAGACGCCTGGGGCGAGTCGGATGCGTACCCATCCAGCATGGCATGCGGATGCGGATGCACGTTGAGTGGCTGGCTTATTGACGCCGAATGCACTCGATGACGTTTCGAGAGCAGCTGGAAGACGAAGGCCTGAGGGCGAGCATGGCTAGGTGTGGCTATTGGTGCTGCAGGCACTTTTGCAAAGGGCATGGGCGTGTTCCTGCATGTTTGCTTTTGCTGAAACATGCCGGGGAGCCGTTGGTTAGCGTGTAGTCTGTCAGCGGCACGTCGACATGAATTAGGAAAAGGTGCAGTGGCTCCGGATACACTCAGCCGCTGAAAGGGTCCAACAGGCTAGACGTGTTTGCTTTTTTGTGAGGAACACCACTCATGGCGAACACATGTCGCGGCTTTTCCACCAAAAGGGAACGGAACGGCTCTTCTGCGACGTAGGGGAAACGGGCCCCCAAATGACCGCCCTGCCTTCTGTCGCCGCAGGCACGAGCTCCAAGATTGCGTTATGCAGCAAGTAGACGACGTGATGATGATTGCAGGTGTGCAGGATTATGTCGAGGAGCGCAGTCTCTTCAGGCTGGACAAAGATTGGCTGGCTGGTGGTGGAGCGGAGCCAAGCTGCTGCCAGCCAGGGGCCAATGCCAAGGATTCCGTCTTCGTGCATACAAAAGAAATATCGACTCCCAGGAAGATGCTGATACGTACAGGCTCTCGCTCCGTTTACCACTTTTTCTCTGCACCTGACTGGACTGAATCAGCAAAAGGCCGCCGAGACGGAGCGCCGCCGACTGGTGTCATCCTATCGCCGAGGGTTTGGTCGCCCCATTGCTGTTGGATTGCCATGTCGATATTGCAGGCCTAATAGTCTATGTACGCTATCAGCCGGCGTGGGGGAGGGATACAAGCAGGGCGCTGAGCATGTATGTAGGTGTATAGCTAATCCTCTTACGTGACTGATGATGGTAATAGCAGTGATTCAGCCGACGGCCATGGGCGCACGCCAGATGTGCCTTCGCTTCTTGATGTGCACCGGCTGGCTACGTGCTCATGTCTGAAATGGAACGATTCAGCGAAAGGGATATATATAAGTCGCCCGTCTGTGCGGTAGCCCTGGAGAATGGATGAAGCTGGCAACACGTCGAGCATTGACCGCTGGTTCACGTCTTTGCCCTCATGCGAAACGGGCCTTTTTGGCGGCAGTCTTGCGGCAGTCTTACGGCAGACTGGCCTGGAGGTGCCTGGAGGTGCCTGGATGTTCCCTGGAGAAAGGGCCTCGGCCATCCAGATTTCGGGATTGGGTCACGTGATGCTTATGGTGCCGTGCCAAGCTCCGGCGCTACAGTATTGTTCCCGCCCCGGTCCCAGTGTCGGAGGTGGGATCAGCAGAAGAACAGGACGAGGCTACACGCACGCAGTGTAGACATGGAAGGCTTGTGCCTGTGTATGCGCTCATTACAAGTACACCGTCGGGCTTCGAGCCTCGGTGCATGTATGTACAGGTAAGTGGCAGCGTTATTCAGCATGGACGGCAATTATGCATTGATTAACACATCCGCCCACATCGACGGTGCGCAACTGTGGGGAGCGGATGGGCCGACAATTGGGCACTTGTCAAAAGCTTCACCAGCACGAGATGCGACTCCGAGCAACACGCAGCCAGCAGCCCCTTTTCTCCATAGCAATAGTACTAGTGCAGCAGCGCATTCATCCAAGTGTGGCTGCACGGTGACGCTGCTGCTCCGACTGAGGGGCTTACACAGCAAAATTCTGCCTATGACGTCGCCGCCTGCGCTCGGTAAGCCTCTCACAGATTACTCAGCCACAGCAAGAGGCCATCCGAACTCGAGCCGACCGTTATTCCGCCCTTTGCCTGCTTTCTACAGGCCGACTTCACCGCCAGCGCTATGCGACCGCCCGCAACCGTCGCCACGCGCGCCCGCAAGAAAATGGCGCGGCATTTTCCTGGCGGCCGCTCCAAGGCTGCCCACGACTCGCCCTCACTACCCGCGCCAAACTCCCGGATATAATAAGTCTTGGTCTGGACAAAAAGACTTGAGCCACCATCACGCGCTGGATCCACAGCCAGCTCCACTCCGATCGACGACGTCAGGCTCGAACAGTCGCTGTTAGCACTTTCCGAACTGCCGAAGCCCTATTTTTTTTCTCAGACCACCCACCACACTGCCTCGAGACACTGCCATCCGTTGCCCGCACGAGACCAATTGTCCCAGCAATGCAGGAGGAAGACTTGGACATCCTTCGCAACGAGGCCAACGCCGACCCAGACAGGTATAACACATGGGATCCCCAGCGCCAGTTCCGCGAAGAGTACCACCGCCTGCACCAGCATGACCAGACGCCCAGCGAGCGCATGCGCAACATTGCTGCTCATGAGCGAGGAGAGTCGGTAGAGGGCGCCGACCAGGTTTCAGCCGCGCTCCAGCAAAACGCGACACCGGCGGGAGAAAGGGAAGAGGAGGTCGCCTCGCCTCTGTCGCGCCAGACCACGTCCTCGTCGACCACCAGCTCGACAAGCTCAACCTCGACCCACAGCCCTCGTCTCGAAGAAATACGCACCGCGCATTCGACTCCCGCACGCAATCGCCGCCCAACGGTCAATTCGCAGACGTCGAGCGGCAACTACCTCACCCTGCACCCCACCGAACGCGACCCCGAAGCCATCCGCCGTATCGAGACACACCGTAGCCAGCATGCAGGTACCGTTGGTGCTTCGCGAGTCGATTCGCGCCTGTCTAGGACGCTTACACGGCGGCGCACCGAGAAGCCACTGCCCAATCTGGGAGCGGGAAAACCGTTTCCTCCCCTTCTGCCGGACAGGGAAGAATACGTCGTCGAGTTTGATGGTGTAGACGACCCGCTGCACCCCCAAAACTGGCCCATGAAGAAGAAGCTGGCCATTGGTGCTATGCTAGCTTTCGATGCCCTCTCGGCAACCATGGGCTCCAGTATCTTTTCCGCTGCGACAATTCCCGTGTCCCGGCAATTTGGCGTGGCTAATGTCGTGGGTACTCTGGGTACGAGTTTGTTCGTCTTTGGATATGCCTTTGGCCCTCTGGTACGATATGCGCCTCCTACTATTAACCATCAGATGCACTGACCAGCTGCAGATGTGGGCGCCCTTCTCGGAGCTGTACGGCCGAAAGCCTCCGCTCATCATCGCCGCCTTTGGATTCGCCATCTTCAGCATTGCCGTTGCCGTCGCCAAAGACCTACAAACCGTCTTGATCTGCCGTTTTTTCGCCGGTCTCTTCGGCTCCTCCCCGCTAGCCATCGTCGCGGCCGTCTTTGCAGATATGTTCAACAATAGTGTTCGTGGTCTTGCCGTGGCAGTCTTTTCAGCGACCGTGTTCATGGGGCCACTTTTGGCGCCCTTCATCGGGGGTTTCATCACCCAGAGCTACCTGGGGTGGAGGTGGACCGAGTACATCTCCAGTATCATGGGCTTCGTGGCGTTTGTGTTGTTGTTTTTCTTCCTTGAAGAGACCTACCCGCCGGTAGTGCTCATTAATAAGGCGAGTGAGCTTAGGCGACGAACACGGAACTGGGGTATTCATGCAAAGCAAGAGGAAATTGAAGTTGACTTCAGAGAGTTGATTATCAAGAACGTCAGCAGGCCCATGCGCATCCTCTTTACCGAGCCTATCGTCTTACTCATCACCATTTACATGAGTTTCATCTGTAAGTCTGACAATCTTATCTTATCAGCGCTTTAATCGCATACTAACCAGACTAGACGGTCTGCTCTACCTCTTCCTGACCGCCTACGCCCTCGTTTTCCAAGGCGTATACGGGTGGAGTGCCGGCATTGGCGGCCTTGCATACTTTGGCATGGTTGCTGGCGAGGTTATTGCCTTTATTGTCGTCGTGTTGGACAATCCACGCTACATTAAGAAGCTGCAGGCAAACAACAACATTCCTGTCCCAGAGTGGCGCTTGCCAATCGCCATGGTTGGTGGTGTATTCTTTACCGGTATGTGTTTACCTAGTTGTCATTTGAATGGCTTAGCTGACGTCCAACAGGTGGCTTGTTCTGGTTTGGTTGGTCAGGTTACAACGGCCATGTACACTGGATTGTCCCTGTACTCTCTGGTCTCCTCACCGGTTTCGGTATTTTCTCCATCTTCCTGTCTTTGCTCAACTACATTGTCGACGCCTACCTCATGTTCGCCGCTTCGGCCATCGCCGCAAACACCTTTATGCGTTCAATGTTTGGTGGTGTGTTTCCACTATTCGCCACTTTCATGTTCAAGGGCATGGGTATCCAGTGGGCAAGTACACTACTCGGTTGTGTCGCCGCAGTCCTCGTACCGATGCCTATAATCTTTTACGTTTACGGAAAGAAGATCCGTGCCAGGAGTAAGTTTGCACCTGCACCGGATATCGAGCAGGACAAGAGGAGAGACGAGGAGAGCCGGGGACTAGAGGCAACGGGAGAGGAGGGCAGTGGTGAGATAGAAAAGGAGAGCGTGAACTGCGAAAACGGAGGACTGCAAAAGGAGAGGAGCAAGGAACAGTAGCGGTGCAACCAAGGATCAAAATTTTTCTTCTTGTATATTTAACGATTTTACGTTTTTAATCCAACATCCTTGAGCCCCATCCTCGACATGCTACGCATTTTGATGAATGACCAACTACATCCTTCGTGGAGCCCGTGGCGGAACCGAGGAAGGTTAGCCGAGCGCCAGCCTAGTCCCAGAAAAGAAATCGGTCCGCGATTACAACGAGACTCTCGGACGACAGTACTCCAGACCCGCCCCGCAACACCACCACGTGACGTAACATGTCGCTTCCTGACTTCGCGGGGTATAGGTATAAAGTACCCATGGGAATTGGGAACTATTTTGTCCGCACGTTGTTTACCTTTTACTCGCAAAGGCACTATCAAGGCATTGAACCTTGAAATTCCAACCAGTCCATTCACTCCAAACCTTGAATTCGTCTCACTACCGCCAACATGTCCATGTCTGTGGAAGAATGCCAACAGCCGCGCGCCGGCTTCCCTAAGCCTGTTCCTGACACACCCGTCAACGTCATGGAACAATTCAGCATGAAGGGCAAGACGATTGTCGTGACTGGAGCAGCCGAAGGCATCGGCGGCGCTGTAGCAGACGCAATGGCCGAAGCAGGAGGCAACGTAGCCCTGTGGTACAACTCCAACAACATGGCGATCCAGCGCGCGGAGAACCTGGCCAAACAATACGGCGTCCAGACCAAGGCCTACAGCGTCAACCAAATCGACGCCGCCGCCGTCGAAGCCACCATTAAGCAAGTCGTCGCAGACTTTGGCCGCATCGACTGCTTCGTCGCCAACGCCGGCACCGGCGACAGCAAGCCGCTGCTCGAGCAAACCCTAGAATCCTACCACAACCTCATGCGCGTCAACGTCGACGGCCCCGTCTACTGCGCCAAATACGCAGGCGAAGTCTTCAAAAAACAAGGCTTCGGCAACCTCATCCTCACATCCAGCATCTCGGCCCACATTGTCAACGTCCCCGTCGACCAGCCCATTTACAACGGCACAAAAGCGTTTGTATCGCACCTTGGCAAATCGCTCGCGCGCGAATGGCGCGATTTCGCCCGCGTCAACGTCGTTAGCCCCGGTTTCTTCGATACCAAGATGGGCGCCGGCCCGCTCGTGATTAACGAGGGACTACGCATGATTCCGCTGGGTCGCCAGGGCAATGTGAAGGAGATTAAAGGCTTGTTTTTGTATCTCGCCAGTGACGCGTCGAGTTATATGACGGGCAGTGATTGTATCATTGATGGCGGCTATGTGTTGCCGTAGATGGGAATGGGGGGATGCATTGCATAGTTTGGCCATCTAGATGTTTCTCACACATGTATATGAATAATGCGGTATTTTGGACGTTGCATGCTGAGTCCATGGCTTCGTGTAGGGGAGTGAAGTTTTTCAGCCTTTTTATTTTCTCTCTCTTACTATCGATATCACGTGTACAAGTATGCATACCGTTTGTCTTTTTGCCCGAGTGCAACCAACCATTTGAAAAAAAGGTGACATGTGCATTTTACTCTTCGTTTCTGTTTCACCGAGGTTTTTTTGTTTTATTACAACTGCATGTTGGATGTGTACACATGCTGAGGGAAAATCTGGCATTTGTGAATAGGCATGTAGTGGAGTGGAGAAGGATATTGGGAAGGTAAAATCATTGAGAGCTGTTTTACTGAGGTGGTTTGAGCAGCTGTTAGGCTTAGTCTGGTCGATGGATTTCTGATTCTTGACTGGAGAGCGTGGGGAGATGGGGTTGGAACGTGTGCTGGCATGGTTGGTGTGTTTACTTTTCCATCTCGACCAAACTGCTTTCTCATGTTGCTAGAAAACAAAATCCCGGATTCCATGGCAGGTCTTGGAACAGTCTTTGGCTATGTATTATTATTATTATTATTATTCTAGTTTAACGTCCTTTTTCAGCCCGAAGGGCTATATAAGACGTGTAGGGTTTT